CCCCCAAAATTCCTCCCAAATTTCCCAAAATCTCCCCAATTTGTGTAGATTTTCCCCGATTTTCCTCCCAAATTTCCCAAGCTCCCCCCCAAAATCTCCCAAATTTCTGCAAATTTTCCCCAAATCCCCCAAATTCCCCCAAATTCCCCCGAAATTTCCCAAAACCTCCCAAATCTTCGCTGATTTTCCCAGATTTTCCCTCAAATCCCCCAAATTCAGTCCGAATTTCCCCCAAATTCCTCCCAAATTTCCCCCAAAATCCCCCAAATTTTCCCGAATTTTTCCCAAAATCCCCCAAATTTTTGCTGATTTCCCCCGATTTTTCCCAAAATCACCAAAATTTCCCCGATTTTTCCCAAAATCCCCCAAATTTCCTAATTTTCCCCAAAATCCCCCAAATTTCCCCCGATTTTCCCCAAAACCTCCCGAATCTTTGCCAATTTTCCGGGATCTTTTTTTCCCCAAAATCCCCCAAAATTTCCCGAATTTTTTCCCCAAAATCCCCCAAAATTTCCCGAATTATTTTTCCCCAACATCCCCCAAATTTTCCCGGATATTTTTCCCCAAAATCCCCCAAATTTTCCCGGATTTTTTTCCCCAAAATCCCCCAAATTTTCCCGGATTTTTTTTCCCCAAAATCCCCCAAATTTTCCCTGATTTTTTTTCCCCAAAATCCCCCAAATTTTCCCGAATTTTTTTCCCCAAAATCCCCCAAATTTTCCCGGATTATTTTTCCCCAAAATCCCCCAAATTTTCCCGGATTTTTTCCCCAAAATCCCCAAATTTTCCCAGATTTTTTTTCCCCAAAATCCCCCAAAATTTCTCGTATTTTTTCCCCCAATTCCCCCAAATTTTCCCGGATTTTTTCCCCAAATCCGCCAAATTTTCCCAGATTTTTTTTCCCAAAAATCCCCCAAAATTTCCCCGATTTTCCCCAAAATCCCCCAAAATTTCCCGAATTTTTTCCCCAAATCCCCCAAATTTTCCCGGATTTCTTTCCCCAAAATCCCCCAAAATTTCCCGAATTATTTTTCCCCAAAATCCCCCAAATTTTCCCGGATTTTTTTCCCCAAAATCCCCCAAATTTTCCCGGATTTTTTTCCCCAAAATCCCCCAAATTTTC